CTCAATGTTCTTCCTTTCTTACTCTCCTTGAAATATAGTTTCTCCTATGATAGAAAGTGAATAATATCAAAGTACATTGTGTTACAAAGATTATAGTAAAAGTAATAGCATAGTTTATTAGGAAAGGAATACACTTTCAACAGACTGAAAGCCGGTCACCTCTACTGACCAGCTCTCTCTCTAGGGAGAGAATGATGGGTCAGGTTTTAGAGTTGGTATATTTATTGAAGAAGTTTTAGTTTTGGGATTATTTAACCCTTGGGATTATTTCCTGGGTTTGGGTCATTGTCTTGTTAAATTAGAGAGAGATTGCCTGTGTAAACTACCAGTTCTTGCTCAAACTGACAGAGAGTTTCTGTTTAAAATTCCTATCTTTTGCTCTATCCAGCTCCTTGGTCTGGGTCTTTATTTTGTTAAATTTACGTGTGTAAACTCCCAGCATCAGGCCTGCCTGATGTTTAAAATGTGGATTACCCTTGAGTAAAGAATGGATTGATTAAGCTTTAGGTAAGTGGCTAACTTCAAAGAATTGATATCCCCTGGGCTCTGGCTACTTGATCTTAATGAAAATTAATAGAGTTGGGAAGTTAAATTATAATGGCTTTTTCCTTTCTTCCTTGTGGCCACTGCTTATGTCTAGCTGCTACCTATTACATTGTATCTGTGTAGAAGATGGTATAAGGAAATGCACTGAAAGCTGATGAATAATAGGGAGCAGAATGACAGAGAGTAAGTAATAAAGGGGATTACTCTGATTAATGTACAATATATACATGTGTGAAATACATGGTGGCAAAACCCCACTTAACAGTCAATATACATTTTAAAAAATGGAGGACAGGAAGGTAAAACAAGTTCTGTCCATGAGTGGTACCAATAGGAGGGGGGATACTATACAGAAAGGGTGAAGGAGGACAGATAAGATCCATGCACTTTGTATAATTGTATGAAAATAGAACAATGAAACCTATTAAAATTGTTCTAAGAAGCAGGGAGGGGGATGAGGGAAAATGATGGAGGGAGTGAATCTAATTAAGGTACATTTTAAGCACATATGTAAATGTTACAGTGAAACCCTCCTGTACAACTAATATATGCTAATAACAATAAAAAATACATAGTTTCTCTTTTGTTACTATTACTCTTTTCACTTGCAAAGTTGCCATGGAGGAAAATTCTAATCTACAGTTTTACTCTGGAAGGCCTTTTTCCCATTCTTTCTGCAATTCAGTTCAAGAAGTTTTTATTGACACTTCAAGCTCACTTATTTTTCTTTACCTATGTTCAGTCTACTTATGAGCCTTTCTGTCTTAGCCTGTCAGGTTGATAAAACAAAAACTTTAGAATGGATAATTTATAAACAATAGAAATTTATCGCTTATAGGCTGGAGGCTGGGACATCTAAGATCAAGGTGCCAGCAGATTCAGTATCTGTTGAGGGTGCATTTCTCAAAGATAGAAACATCTCACTTCATCCTTATGTGGTGGAAGGGGTGAACCCCCATCAGACTTCTTTTATAAAGTTTCTGATCCCATTCATGAAGGACAGGCCCTCATGATCTGATCACCTCTCTAAATCCCCATTACTTAATACAACCAAATTAGGAATTAAGTTTCAATGTGATTTTTTTTTTTGAGGAGGAGTGACACAAACATTCACATCATTGTACTATCAAAGGAATTCTTTATTTTTTTTCAGACAGAGTATCATTCCGGAGCCCAGGCTGGCCTGGAGCTCATAATCCTCCTGTGTTAGCCTCCTGAGTGCTGTGATTATAGGCATGTACCACCATTCTTTATTTCTGTCTGTGTTACGTTTCTCTTAATTTTTTTTTTTACATAAATCCACTCAATTAACTTTTGATTCTTTTTTTATTAAGAGAAATGTCAGGCTGGAGGCATTACTGAAGTGGTAGCAGGAAGCCCTGCTACCCTAGTAGAGAGAGAGAGAGAGAGAGAGAGAGAGAGAGAAGTGTACTTTATTAAAATTGCAGATTAATAAAAATATCTAAGAACACACATGATATCAGTAAGAGTTTTCCCATCTTCTTAAGGTTGCTATAGCTTAGTCTTGTTACTTCTCAGTTTTCAGGAAGCTGCAGTTGCTCTATTTGTTTCATTACATAACCCACCTCCATTTCTCATTGGAGAGAAAATAAGGCATAAGATGGGGAAAAATGAGCCAATGTGGGCATTTCCTTAACTTCATTAATCTTGTTGGATAGAGAAGGAAAATATTTAAGCATGGGAGTATAAAGACACAATTATATATATTTGAATTGGTTTAGGTAGTAGTCTGGATAAATTGGAGAAGTAAACCATTTGGCCTGTCTTGGGTGGATAAATAAAGGCTGTGATGAAGATTTGGCTTGCTAAACAATGTATGTATTGGTGATGTTTTTGAGATAAATGTTAGTGAAGTCTTAAAAATAATCTTCAGTCCTGAAACCCAAGTTTGGATACCACAATCATTTATAGGGTACAAAAATATATACATAAACTGCCACAGATTGGTTAGAGGGCATCTATGTCCCAGAAACACCAAATACCAATCAGAAATGGTCAGTTATTTAGGTTGACTTGAAACCAAATCAGACAACTGTGTACCTGAAGGGCTTTGAGTGCCCTGTACCCAGACCAAGTCACAACAACAAGATGGTGAATTAAAGCTAACTTCAAGGAGCCTACAGCTTCAACACGCAGAAAATAAAATCTTGATTCATTTTTACAGTTTTCATGTCCCTGTGTGTTAGTTTTTTGTCACTATAATGAAATACCTGAGATAATTAACTTACAAAGAGAAAAGGTGGGATTTTTCGGGGGTGGGGGGGAAGTGGTTATAGTTTTACAGTTCCAGTCCATGATTGATTGACTCCATTATTTTGGGACAGTGACAAGGCAGCACCCCATGGAGGGAACACATGGTGTAGCACAACCACTTACTTCATGAAGCAAAGAGCAGAAGAGGCTGAGGTCTCACAGTCTTCTTTGGGGTACCTGCCAATGACCAAAGGACCTTCCACAGGACCTTTCCTCCTAAAGGGCCATAGCACTTCCAAACAGCATAACCCTGGGACTAAGCCTTTAACACATGGAACTTTGGGGGATGTTGAAGATTCTATCCATGTATTCTTGTGCTAAGTTACCTACTTTTCCCTTTGGAGTCCTTGTGAGATCGATGATAGTTATTTTAAGTTTTCAATCTGATAATTACAAGATCTGTGTCATCTGAGTCTAGTTTTGATGCTTGCTTTGTCTCTTCAGGTTGTGTTTTTTTCTTGCCTTTTATCATACCTTGTGGAGTTTTGTTGTTGAAAGCTGGACATGATATATTGAGTTACAGAAATAGGTATTTAGGTTTTTTATGTGAGGTTTTATATTAATTTGCCTAGGAGTTAAATTTTGTTTAATGTTTGCTGTGGTTGTAGGTACCAGATCTTCCATGTCCTCCAGTTCCATCCCCTACCTCCTCTGTTGTCTTTGGTTCTGCCTAAGAACTCCTTCTTGAATAAAGTTTGTCATGTTTTGCATTTCTCTTGGTTGTAATCTGTTGATAATTACCATACCAAAGTCTAGTTGCAGGCTCCTGCTTCAACTAAGGTGACCTCTGTCGTGATTCTCTGTATTCATATTTCACGGATATAGAAAAAGTTATCTTTTTGTTTTTGTTGTTATTTTGGCGTGAGGATGGGAGTGATGGCTTCCAAGTTCTTAACATGTCCTACTCTGGGCATTTGAAATTAGGGATAATCCTACTTTTATACCATTCTGTGCATCTGGCTTGTGAATTTAAGAGGCAGTTGTGAAAGGGTTTTGCACCGGGGACACTTTATTTAGGCATCATTCTATTTGGAGGTATGTGCTTTGACCCTCAAAGTCTTCACTGAAATTGTTAGCTGAGTCCTTTGATTTACAATACTTCAAGGATTTGTTTTTTAAAGACTGTAAAAGCAAACCAAATACATTAGTTAAGAAGAGCTGCATTCATAATGCAGAATGAATCAAATACTGTTCATTTACCATCTGCATAATATTCTAACCAGTTATCCTAAGCAAAATAACATTGCAGTTATCTATTCACCTGGACCCCGTTAAATCACTGTGGGATGTAGCCCTAGGAAATGACGCTCATGTTATTGCATTATTAATTGGAAGACTGGAAGCAACATGCTCTCCACCAACAGGAAAACTACATAGCTACTATCCATATGAAGAAATATTACCCAGCTTTTAATGCACTAAGTAAATTAATAATGTAAAGAAATTTCTTGTAACACTAGCAGAAAAGAGCTAGGTGAAATTGTAGAGTCAGTATGACCATGACTGTATAAAAGATATACATAGAGTCTACAAAGAAGTCTTTTACTGTGTGTCTTTGGTTGATAGAACTATAGACGACTTTTTTCTTTATTCATCTTTCCCCCTCTATTTTCCAAAGAATATTCCTTACTGTACTGATCTAACTATAGTATTGTTTTCATGTTAATTTTGATCTCTCCACAACAGGAAACGATAAAGCCTTCAACTGGCGATGGCTAAAGGAAAGTTTATAGCATTATTCTGCCTGAACTTTCTTCCTGTGTTAGTTTGCTTCAGCGTTTTTCTTTTGGCGGCACTGGGGTTTGAGCTCAGAGCCTCATGCTTGCTAAGCAGGTGCTCTACCACGTGAGCCACTCTGCCAGCCCCATCATCATCATCATTATTAGTATTTTGCGGTACTGTGGCTTGAACCCAGGGCCTACACCTTGAGCCGCTCCACTAGCCTTTTTTGTGAAGGTTTTTTTTTTTTTTTTTTTCCAAGATAGGGTCACGCGGAACTATTTACCCAGTCTGTCTTTGAACCACGATCCTCCTGATCTCTGCATCCTGAGTAGCTAGTATTACAGATGTGAGCCACCAGCGCCGGCTCCCATCATTATTTTTACAATCGCCTTCCTTCTTACCTATTCTTTTGCTGTAGGAAAACTCAATTTTTCCCCCCTTCTCTCTAGCATTCCCAGTTATTGTCTATGGAGCACTCCCTGCGGGATATGGAGTACCATCTAGGGGATACGGAACACCAGCTCCCGGATACGGGGTTCCACCTCCCGGATACGGAGCCCCACTGCCGGGATACGGTACGCCCCCTCCAGGGTACGGAGCGCCCCCTCCAGGATACCGAGCGTCCCCTGCAATATATGGAGCCCCACCTCCCGCATATGGAGCCCCGCCTCCTGGATACGGAGTCCCGCCTCCAATGTATGGAACCCCACCTCCCAGATACGAAGCCCCATCTCCCGGATATGAAGACTCACCTGCAGGAATTGAAGCCAGGCCTGTGGGATATGGAGCGGGGCATTCCAATCCTGGGACAGCCCAGACTTCTGGATATGAGGCTACTCGTCCCTCTACCTCATCTTCTCAGACCCATTCTCCCCCTTCTAAGATGTAAACCTTGAGGATTCTCCAAGCAAAATGGCACCGACATTGAAGTCAAGGAGGAGTACTCAGGTATATGATCATAGACCTATGCCAGGTAGTTGCCTCACACCTTGAAAGGGTAATTTTAGGGGAAAGCTAAGCTTTACTGCCGTGCCTTGATTTTAGAAGCAGAGTCAATTTTACATTAGCTGGGCTAAATGAGGAGTAGCATTGTGGGCTAACTCCCTAATAATTTGATTGACATTAGCTGCATTTTAAAACATAGACGCTGAATATGAATTTGGAAAAAGTTTCCTGGCTTTCTCCTCATCCCTATTCAAGAAACATTTGAGTCAGGTGCCAGTAGTGCACACCTGTAATCCTAGCTGTTTGGGGAGGCTGAGATTGGGAGAACCACGACTCCATGCCAGCATGGGCAAAAATTTTGAGAGACTGATCTCAACCAATAGCTGGGAGCAGTAGTGTACACTTGTCACCTCAAGCTGCACAGGAGGTTGAGAGCAAAAGGATCACAGCTCCAAGCCAGCTGGGGCAAAAAGTATGAGTGATCCTATCTTAATGGAAAGAAGCTTGGTAGCATGGGCCTGTCATCCCAGCTGAGGCAGAAAGAGATCTTGGTCAGGTTGGCCTGGGACTCCATCTCCAAAATAACTAGAGCAAAAAGGGCTGTAGACATGGTTTAAATAGTAGAGTGCTTGTAGCAGGTGCAAAAGCCTGAGTTCAAACTCCAGTATGATCGAGAGAGAGAGAGAAACATTTGTTATGCTCCATTTACTAGGCCCTAGAATATGTGCTTTAAAAATATCACATTGAATACAGTTGTTTTTCACATTCTTTACATTAGTGAAAGAATGGAATAACCAGAATTTCCACTGTACTTCTGAGTACATCCCAGTTCTATTAAAATTCTTGATAAAGGCTGGGGATGTAGCTTAGTGATGGAGTGTTTGTCTAGCATTCATGAAGCTCTGGGTTTGATCCCCAGTACTACACAGAAAAAAAAAATCTAAATAAAGCACTTTCACTTCTAAATGTCTACCCCTGAGAAATAACTTGCCCATGTGCACAAAGATGCATATGGGAAAATTTCATTACATTCATTATTTCTAATAGTACAAAATTACAAATAACATATCCACTAATATGAAATACATAAACTGGCATATCCATTCCACACATGCAGAAATTTCTAAGATTTGTTGTTAAATGAGAAAAGTAAGTTGTAGGAGGTATATACTACAATAATTTTTAATCCCATCAGACTGAACCCCTTTTCTTACATGTATATTTGTACAAATATACAAATATATATATGTGTGTGTATATATATTTTTTCTGTTGTGGGGATTGAACCCACTGATTTACATATGCTAGACAGCATTCCACCACTTGAACCACACCCCTAGCCATTTTGTTTGTTCGAGCTAGGGTATTGCTAATTTTGCTGGGACTCTCCTCAAAGTCAAGATCCTTCTGCCTCTGCTTTCTAAGTAGCTGGGATCATAGGCACGAGCACCACACCTGGCTACAAATATTTTGTAACAAATATATTGTTTATATGTTTATAACAAATATTTTGTAATGTGTTTTTCACTTCAATGAAATTTGTAGGAAGTTGCCCATGATTCCATACTATTTCAAGCAAAATTGATATGATACCATAAATGTGTGTAAATATAAAACTAGTTTAGAGTAAAAACTTAAGTATTTATATATTAAATGCTCAGATTCTACCACACTAGAAGACATAATGAAGTAATCAAGTGCTCACTCCTCTATTTATATAGATTCACGATAGGTATTAGAAATACTGACTGGTATGAATGCTGACTTGAATACCACACCATTGATGATGCTATTTTCCAAAGTGGTGAACAATCCTTGAAAAATTTCTAAATAAAGCAAAGTTGAGTTCTCCCTTTCACACTGGTTGAATTCCTGAAAAATTCTGTATACATTAAAATCATGTAAAATAAGTCTAGGTTCCAGGGTCAAATGATTATGAACATGTGCTTCACCTACAGCAATCACCAGAGATCCATTTGGAAATCATGAGGGGGTGTAGGGCAATTTTTTTGTCATGCAGGACTGTCCTGTGACTTTCAGAATGTCTAGCTTCTTTGTAGTCAACTTCCAATTGTGATAGCCCAGAACTACCTCCCACTTATTTCCTAACTGGGGGCAGTACCATTCTAGAACTACCATTCTAGACTATTACTGTTTTCAGCTCCTTCAGAGTTCATCATTGTTCCACTGTGGCCAAGTTCCTAATTTCATTGGCCTTTATTTTCTTGTAGGCTCATCAATCATGAGGCCTTAAAAATACTATATCAGGTATTTTTAGATGTTACATGCTAGGAGATTTTTCAGGAGCTCCAAGTCCACAATATTACTGGACCCATAAGATATTTAAATCAATACTTTTCTATGCATATTTTGTATGTAGTTGAAACTATATTAAATATATTGTGTTTCACCTGATGTTACATTTTCATAGGTTTTTAAGAAAGTCCTAAGAAATTTCACTAGTGAGTACATAATATTCTATGATAGTTATATTTTCTCAATCCCTATTTTAAGGCATTTGAATTTCTCCCAGGTTTTTGCTATTACAGACAACTTTGTGATTAACTTATTTGTGTGTACAGCTTTTTAAAAATTGTAGATGGTTTTCTTAAAATAGGTTGCGTTTATTTTCAATGTAACATGTAGGAAACCAGATGCTCTTATATTGTCAAGGATGACCTTTTCCAAGAAGTCAGGTAGATACTAATGGGTGGATGTGAAAAGGGCGTTACTGGGTCAAATCTATTTGAAAAAGCCAGGCAAATTGGTTTCCTAACTTCACAATTTCTCATAGCCTTGAATATGCTAGGGAATATCATAAATCTCCAAGAGAGAGATTTTGAAAATTAACGTTTTTTCAAAATTATTTGGCCTTAGACTATTTCATTCATTAAACATTTTGGAAAACTATGATTTAGACAGGTGCCCGTGGCTCATGTCTATAATCCTAGCTACTTGGGAGGCTGACATCGAGAGGATAGGGGTTTAAAGCAAGCCCAGGCAAATAGTTCTTGAGACCCCCATCTCCAAAAAATAACCAGAGCAAAATGTACTGGAGGTGTGGCTCAAGCAGTACAGTGGCCTGCTTAGTGAGCACCTGCTTTGCAAGCGTGAATCCCCAGTTCAAACCCTAGTCTCACCAAAAACCAAAACAATAAAACCAAAATTATTATTCAGTGGAATAACCTTTGGGAAACACTTTCTGCATGAGATACTAGAATTAAAATAGACTTCAGGCTCTGGAGTTGTTAAGCTTTAAAGCTCTTTCCAACAATGAAGACAAGTCAAAGATCACTCTTCCTCCATTATAAGGAAAAAGAACTTCATGTCTACTTTACTGAGAATGGGGGATAGTCTTGAAGAATATTTACAATAAAAAGAAAGTAGCTGCTGCTTCCTCTTAGGCATGGAGTCATGGGTCTAGTTGCCTGGGCAACTAGCATGAAGGGAAGAAGTAAAAAGGGAAAATGTAGGTATAACCCTTTTCTAAAAGTTCCAGACAGGCAATCCAGACCATACTTGCTCTTAATCATGGATCACAGGAGCTCTTTTTTCCCTAAAGTTTTTTAGAGGAAAGTTAGGATTTTTTTCTTCTAAGAGTTTCTTCTCAGGTTGAGGATATAGCTCAGCAATAGACTGCTTATCTAGCATGCACAAGGCCCTAGGTTAAATCCCCAGTGCTGCAAGAAAACAAAACAAAAAGTATTTTTTTCTCTCTTGCTTCTAAACCACAGTAAGTGAACAAGTGACAAGAGAGGAAAAAAGGAGAGATTCTCTAAACTAGAGTAGGGGTAAGTTTCCCCTCATTTCAGCTTTTTGGTGTCTACTGGAATAAGACAGTAAATTGGGAAAAGATCAATGTTGTAGCCTCTTTTATAGTGGAATAGTTCTCTAAATAACTGATATTTAGCAAACATTCTGGGATTCAAGTTCTAAAAGGGTAAAAACTAGATTTTCTCTTCTGTTCATTCTTATACTTGTACCAGGTAGATTTGAGATGAGATCCAGTTACCTAAAAAGTGGTAGAGCACTCGCCTGGTGAGCACAAGGCCTGAGTTCAAATCTCAGTACCACCACCAAAAAAAAAAAAAAAAAGAAAGAAAGAAAAGAAAAAGGAGGAAGACTGGAATCCTGCAGTCCATCAGCATAAAAAGGAAATACCCAACTGTCAGTGGGCAGCTCAGGACTCTGTGTCTCCTGAGTCTCCTGAAGGTGGGGTTCTATCATGTTCTTCCCTGCAAAGAGTGCCTGTTTGCCTGGTCTAAGAGCTGCCAATGCAACCAAAGCCTGTGACTGGGATTAAACAGAATCACGGTTTGAACCCACATGGTGCCATGTGATACACCTAATGTTACTTTCTATTGCCTGGTGTGATTGTTCCTGAAAGAGTCAGTTTTTCTGTAAGAGCACTTCCTTCGAGAAGTGCTTTGAGCCCTTGTATTCAAAGGAACTGTTTGCTCTACCTAGGACAAATCCAGGGAGAATTTAGCTGGTCCTGCTGCATGCTCAAAGCACTCAGTCTCTGAGCTGCCCACTGACAGTTGGGTACTTCCTTCTTATGCTGATGAACTCCAGGATTCCAGTCTTCTTTTTTTTTTTTTCTTTTTTTTGATGGTAGTACTGAGGTTTGAACTCAGGGCTCTGTGTTTACCAGGCAAGTGCTCTACCACTTGAGCCAAACCTCCAGCTCTTCTTCCTATCTTTTTTCCTAGCTATAGTACAGAAATTGTAATATGTTTTCACTGTTTCCCGATTTTATATTAGAAATATAAAGGGTAGCCCTAGTATTGGACTCACGAAGGACCCTTTTCATGGGTGAGGGCATGCCAAACCACAGCCTTCCTTGTTCAACTGCCCTGAGAAATCGGGGAAAATGTACAGTTGGTGTGATTTTCTTAATCCACAGGTGCCCTGGCCTGCGTGGGTTTGCTGCATGACCCTGAC